CTCTGTGTTGTGTGCTGGGCTGGGCCATGCCTTGGAATTATGAAAGACAAGTCTATGGGCCATAATTATGGAAGGGTTTTTTTTTTTTCCTATGTGTATTTTTTTTAACTTTTGTTCATACAGAATAACGGGCTTTATGATGACATTTTCACACCTGTGTGTCCTCATACTTTGTTCTAATGAGTAATTGTGGTTTGATCAGAATGAAGGGATTGCATGTCGTAGGACATGTCTAATAATCCCAGGACTTGGGAGGTGGAGCACAAAGATCCAGATTTAAGGGCAGCCTTAAGTAGATCTTGAGTTTGAGGCCAGCCTGGCAACGTGACACATTGTCTCAAAAGAAAAAAAAAAAAAAAAGTCATAGGAAGTCAGGAGCCACCTTCCCCTGGATAGGTTATTAACCGTGGCAGTGGTTTTTAACCGTAGTTTAAGGTGAGACTAGGAGGCAGCCTGGGGTGTGAGAACCTGGAGGAGGATGGCATAGACAGCTCAAGTGAAGGAAACCACTCTGAGGAATGAGACTCCAGAGAGGAGGATTTGGAAAGATGAGGCAGAAATGCACTAGCCAGTGGAGAGTGAAGAGGGCCAGTCACAGATTTGTGGGCTTTGTGTATTGGGTTAACGGGCCACTCAGACCTACACCACACTGAAGAGTCCTGTCTTCAGTGTGAATGAATATGGGCATCCCTCCCATTTAAGTTTAAGGCTGTGTTCTCAAAATGGAGTTAGTATAACCTATTTATTTTTATTTTTTTTAAATGGGGCCTCATACATTAACAATTTAAGCATCTATTTTTAACCCTTAGTATATAAATTGCATCTTTGAAACCAAAGGCCCAGCTTGCCACATCAGATTGACAGTTGTCCCACTCAAGTTCAGGGTCACAACGGTCACTGCCATCTACAAACGAGCCCGAGCGTATGTGCAGAGATAGATTCTAAATCTGCTTCTCTGCTGGCCTGCCTCTGCCGGGGGTTGTTCTGAGGCTGGCCCTCAAGATCTGGCTACACCTATCCCTGTTTTGTAAACCTGCCTAAGTCATTATACCTGATTGGTTAATTAGAGGCCTCATGAGGCAGGTGTGTCTAAGGTTCCAGGGCTTTTGAGGAGAGGGAATCTTGGGAAATCGACAGACAGGAAAAGAGGAGGAAGGAGGATGCCAGGATGGGTTAGTGTAGATTTAAACACACACACACACACACACACACACACACGAGCAGAGAGGAAGGACTCCAATAATATCGTGAAAAGGCCCAGATGAAGAATATAGGCAAGTAGCATGGGATTATGGATGTAAGGTAGACCAGATGAGGAGATTAAGGAGGATGGCATTGGATGGGGGCTGGGAGATGGATGGTAAGGTTATGGAGCCAGCGTAGGTGAAATATCTGCCCAGCCCTAGGTAAATAAGGCAATTATAAAATCTAACAGGTGTCTGTGTCTCATTATAGTGGGGTTAGATAATACCACCATGATAATTTCAGAACTAATAATAAACACTGTATCACTCAACATTCTTTTGTTTTTTTTTAAATTTACTACACCATGCCTCACTCCTTTGACTTTGTCCAGTGACTGCCTCTCCCTTCTGTCCACCATCAGGTTGTGACCTTGGTGGCTGGCCTTTCTGCTTTCTCTTCTGTCACCACCACCTTCATCTACAAGATCCCTGCAGTTATTTTTCCAAATCTAAGTCTCTATCAGCCTTGTCCGAATTTCTACTCTTGTCTCATTTCCCCACCTCTTCTCTCACTTCCCTCCAGCTGGTTTTCCATAATCAGAAGAGCAGCTTTTGCACAGGGATCTGAGGGTGTCTCTCCCCTTTATCAGAATAGTTGCCACAACCTTCCATTCAGCGCACCAGACAGAGCCCATTGCAGTTTTGTTCAGATTTCTCTGGACCTGTTTCCTATTCACTTCCTGCTTGAGCACACATGTGTCTTTTCCATTTCTTAGTTAAGTCTTATTGTCCCTTGAATCACAGTTTCTTCAGTTGTGTCTTCTACACCAGAAGATCTCTCCTCCTCCTCTTATATTCTGCTGGTGATGATTACCTCTGTAGTGGCTGTTTTCTTCCCTAAGTTTTTCATCTCCAGGATTCCCTCAGTTTGTTTTCTTTATTGTTTCTAGTTTTCAGGTCTTGAACTGTTTTCTTCATTTCCTTCATCTGTTTGATTGTATTTTCCTATATTTCTTTAAGGGATTTCCTCTTTAAAGGCTTCTCTCTGTTTGATTTTTTTATTGTATTTTTCTTTATTTATTTAAGGAATTTATGTGTTTTCTCTTTAGTGGCCTCTATCATCTTCATAAAAATAGATTTAAGGTCATTTTCTTGTGTTTCTCCAGGGCTTGTTGTAGTAGGATAGCTGGGTATTGGTGGTGCCATATTGCCCTGGATCTTGTTGATTGTGTTCTTATGCTGGCCTTTAGCCATCTGGTTATCTCTGGTGTCGGCTGGTTGTTCCTGCTGCCCACTGGACCTCTCAGGAAATCAGAAAGAGCCCTGGGCCAGAGGCCAGAGGCTGTTCTTGTCTAGTGGTCCGCCTCCAAATGGTTGGGCCATGGGTTGGAGGCTGGATCTCAGGGAATAGCCCACAGTTCTCCTCTGCTGGCTGTGTCATAGTTGGACCCACAGGCAGGGTATGCGTGGGAGAGTCTAACCTCGATGATCCTGAGGTCTCCTTGGAAAGGTGGGTAGGTCTGTGTGGAGACTTGAACCAGGAAGCCATGGACCAGAGGCTGGGACCATGTGTCTCTTGGGCCTGGGAGCCCTCTTTAAGACTATGAATAGATGGGGAGAGGGTCCATTGGTTGATCCTAGAGCCTGGGAGCCCTCCTTAGGGAGGTGGATAGTCCAAGAGTTCACAGGGGACACACAGACCTGGGTACTTTGCAATCAGCAGGGGGCCTCATGTTCACTTTGCGGTGACTGAGTTCAAACTTGCGCTACTCAGACACCATGTGTGCTAGGCTCAGTCATCTTGGAGAACCAATAAAAATTTTCATTAAAAATTATGAGGGGCTGTGGAGATAATCATCTAGTAAAGTGCTTACTTTGGTCTGAGGAAAGAGCCCCAGAGTTCCTTTCCTTGCTGCCTGTTTGAGGTTTGGAAAGCTAGACAGCACAACTATAGTTTGTTACCATAAATGTACCTCCAGAATGTGTGTGTATACGTGTGTGTGCGTATGTATAATGTATATGTGTGTATGTATATATGTGTACATATAAAGGGAAAGAGAGAGAGCCAGAATATATCACTTAAAGTGTTTCAAGTCTCCATTCCTGTGTCTAGAGAGATGTTTTGCTTATTAAGAATGCCCACACTTGGCAGCTCACAACCACCTGTAACTACAGCTTCAGGGGATCCGATGCCCTCTATGGGCACACACACACTTGTGGTTTATATACACAAAGGCACACTACACATAATATAAAAAATCTACATGCCTGATTTTTAAACAGTCATGAGTAGGGGCTTTCTTTTGTAAATTGTAACGGGCGATTAATCCCCTGATTTTTTCATCAATCTCGTTTCTGTATTTCCATTCACCTTTCTCACTAGTACTATCTTGGTATGGACTTTTGAAACCTATAGGGAAGACCTCAAAGACCTTTATTCATACTTTGCTCATTGCACACATTAGGTTATCTCGGTGGCTAAAGAAGTGACAGCAGGGGCTGGGTTCCCTTTAGGAAGAGTTTGAAGGTCTGCAGCCTGTGGAATGGTTGAGTCTGCTTGTGTTTGCCACAGGGAAGTTCGTATAGAAAGAGAGAAATGAATTAAAGCACCCATTAAACAAACCCACTTCATCTGAATCACTCGCCAAAAACTTCCTGCTAGCATCTGAGAAGGCTGTTACATCCTTGATCAGGTGTTCGGTTAGGAGCCTGTATTCTGGGAGCGGGATGGGCCTGGGAGCGTGGTGGCAGGAACATCTCAGGCATGTCTGTCTGTACTGTACCTCTGGCTTAACCAGAACCAGCATCAATGTCTCGGAGACCAGAAAACATGCTGCCTCCTTTTCCCCTAGGACACCTTCATTGTTTTTGAGGCTATTTGTGAGATGCAAATGGCTTTTTTTAAAGCTTTGGTTCCCTCTGCGTTTCTATACACCTTCCCAAGTATCTCTTAGGAAAGATGTCTATTTTTCACGTTAACATCTCAGTCTTTACTGCCACAGCCACTGCTGCTCCAAGTTTAGACACTGAGGAAAGCATCTTCAAGCTAAATCGCTCAAATTTTAAGCCTGTGCGAACATGGAGTCCCTACTATATTCCAGAGAGATAAATATTATCGGCCTTAGGATGCAGAGGACCTTAACTGATTGGGTTGGTTGGTTGGTTGGTTGGTTGGTTGGTTGGTTGGTTGGTTGGAGAGAGGTGACAAGAAGGCAAAGGAGGCGAATGTCCTTGTCATCACCTGTGTTGAGTACCTGGCTGGGGTTGGGAGACTGAAGGGAACCTCCATAGTACAATAAGGCAGGGGCCCTGTGACTGGTACTACCGCTGTGACTTTTTATGGTGGAGTGAGGGGGGAGTGACCGAGTCCTACCTTCCTGCTGTTACCCCATTTCCTACCGGGACGGCTGACTTTAGGATAGAAGGCACGAGGATGTTCACCCTTGTCTGGTAGCCTGTATTGCTCATTTAGAAAGCAATGGTTTGGCGTGTGGGAAGCCCTGGATTCAATCCTCAGCACCAAAATAATAAAAACACTAACAACAAATAATAATAAAAAATTAAATAATGGCGTGACTAAGGCTTTAAAAATCAAAAAAAGCAGTGGGAAGCCATTCTGGAGATCAGAATGGCTGAGTTGAATTTAGTTAAGGGTGGGACTGTTCCATCGCCAGTGACTCGTGTTCACAGTGGATGAGGCATTTCCATCCTGACTGCTGCTCTCACGGGCATGGGGGTAGCGAGGAGGAGTCAAGCAGTTGTACGTGTCTTTCCTTCCCTGAGAAGTCATCGTTCCTGCCTTTTTTCTTCGGCTAGGTGTTGGACTGGATTGAAAACCACGGCGAGGCCTTTCTCAGCAAACACACTGGGGTTGGGAAGTCCCTGCATCGAGCACGGGCGCTACAGAAGAGACACGACGACTTCGAAGAAGTGGCTCAGGTGAGCCACTCTGCGTCTGCGTGCCTGTGTTCCCCGGTGCTGCGTGCGTGTCTCTGTGCGCATGTGCACGTGCGTGCGTGCTTGCGTGCTGCGCGTGCGCTTGTGCGTCTGTGAGGCCAAGTGAGGCTTTGGTGCTGCTTGGATGGAAGCAGGTTGGGTCGGTAAGTCTGGTCTATCTTCTTGCCTGATACGAAAGCCTTTGTCTTCCCTTGGATGCCCGCTGGGTGAGTGGCCAGTGGACCCCCAAGTTCATGGTCTTAGAAAATCTTACTACCACTATGATCTAAAAGAATGTCTAGTCCACAAAGTGGTACCGGCTGGAGGGTAATGTTAGTCTTTCCGTTATCAGCAAGGTTCTTGCTTTTGACTGTCCGTCCTGATAGGTGGGAGCAAAAGCTGCCCCAGTCCTACTTGCAAAGTTGTGGCACCTGGTTGTCAGCCATGTAACTACAGGGAAGACATGCCTCAAGAGTGTTTGTAGGGTCCCTTTCATCTTTAGTTTAAAATTTACTCAATATTCAGCCCTTTAGGTGAGCACACAAATTCATAAAATACAGTGTTTTCTAATTTGGGACAATGTATGTTTTGAGTGGCTGGCTATTTGTCTACCTCTAAAACTTTACCTGACTCAGTTATATTTGTTTTGTTGGGATATTTTACAATAAGTCAGTGTCTACCACAATCCCATTTCTTCTGACTCCTCCACTGATGGCTGATACTCCTTACTAAAGAAAGAACGGGCACATTTTTGAGTTGTGGATTATTTGTCAACTTTGTTCAATAGAAGACAACATGGAGGTTCAGAAAGTTCTTTAATGTGGCCACATCATCAGCTCTGCTGAGATTGTTCGGATTATATATCAAGCTCCAGAGACATCTCTGTGTCTCGGTTCCATCTTTACTGTGCATAGGAGCTGTGTATAAAATTTGTTTCTGGGTGTCTGTTGGCATACACGGTATGCGGGACCAAAAGAAAGAATGGGAGAGTGGGGTACAGCAGTACCGTCCTGTTTGGCAGCTGTTGCAGTTTTTCTCTGACCCTGCTAATGAATAATTCAAGTTTCCCTACATGGGCTTTCTGGTTAGAATATGAATATATATATATATATATATATATATATATATATATATATATATATATGTTATATAACAGAAGTGAAATATATGTGTGTGTGTGTGTGTGTGTGTGTATGTATGTATGTGTGTGTGTGTATATATATAAAACAGAGAGATTTCTAACTTCCAAAATGGCTTGGGAGTGTGTCCTCTCTAAAGAAGAACAAAGTGGACTAAAAGGGAAGAGCCTAAGCAAGGGTCACAAGGGTCATGAGGTTCTGTGAACAGGCCAGTAAAGGTGGAATTTGTAGGCTGAAAATTAATCAATCCTCTTTCTTTGTCCCATCCCCACTCTGATCAAGGGTAGCTGCTTATCGTCCTTGAATTGATGGTTTATTTAAGAAAATCAGACCACAAGAAGAGCAAATGGACTGTCAGTAGCTACCTATCTGAGACTGGATTTATTCTATGGGACATGATTTATGGTAGATTTTTGTTTTGTTTGTTGTTTTGTTTTGCTTGTTTGTTTTTGCTTTTGCTTCTGGTCTTGTTTAGGTGAGGGCTATTGGAAGGAAGTGATCTAAATAAAAAGTGTAAAAAAAATTTTTTTTAAGATAGAATCTTTCTGGCCTGCTCTTTGATCACCTCACCCTGAGCGGGGAGCAGCCTTACCAGACCACAGAGGAAGACAATGTAGCCACTCCTGATGAGACCTGATAGACTACGATCAGAAGGAAGGAGAGGAAGACCTCCCCTATCAGTGGACTTGGGGAGGGTCATGTGTGGAGAAGGGGGAGGGAAGGTGGGATTGGGAGGGGAGGAGGGAGGGTCTTATGGGGGGATACAAAGTGAATAAAGTGTAATTAATAAAAATTAAAATAAAAAAATATAAAAAAAAAAGAATCTCTCTTAGGCATCCAAGTCTAATCTGGATTTCACTACTAGTCCAGGGCAGTCTTGAACTTGTCCTCCTGTTTAGGTCTCCTGAGTGCTGGGATTATAGGTATGTGCTGACACAGAAAATTCTTGGGCAATGATAGAGAGCCATGACAGAAAGCCACACCCTTGTTCCAGGTTGTTTGGTGTTGGCATGGTAAGGATGGTCAAGAAGGCTGTCACACATGTTGTAGACTAGCAAACTGGGGTCACTCATAAGCAGTGCTCTAGAGAACCAGTCATCTTTTAACCTCACCGTCTTAGGAGGCTCTGATGTCAGGCTGACATGAGGAGTGAGTTCCAAGCACGCATTCTCCGTATTCAGGGGTTTGTTTTGTTTTGTTTTGCTTTAGTTGCTTTAAGTCAGGTCAGGGAGAGGGGTACTACACCTGCTGTGGGTCCCAGAAGTTTGGTTTTCTGAAGGGAAGAGCAAGCTCTCAAGCAAAGGAAATGACCAGCCCTGAGAAGAAGTTGAAGGGCGGTAAAATCCCTGAAGAAATGCGTCTTCAGCCTGGGATGGTGGAGGTGTCTATGATTGGTCACCCCGAGGTAAAGACAGTTAAGGCAACTGTTCAGACAGTTGTAAATCCTATGAAGAATCAATGTCGTGATCCATTATCCTGCCTCGAGCGTTCAATTTTTGTGCCTGATAGCTCTTGAGTGCGTTTTAAAGAAATTCAAACTGTTTGAAGGAGCTAGAGTATTAGGAGTCTTCAGCTCATCCTGCAGGTGGCGCTGTTTGAACAAGGTCCCTAGTAGCTGAGCCGCAGAGAAGTGCAGCAGTCCCTCTAACCTGCAAGGGAAGTGTGGGCCTGGGGCCACTCAAAGTGCAGGCAGTGAGGGCCTGGGCAGGGACACTCCAGGAAATCTGCTGGTGGGAATGCCCCCCCCCCCCCCAGTTCCTCAGTTCCTGCTAAAACCTCTCACAAACTCAAGCCAAGTTATCTGTTAACTCACCAGATGACCCAGCCGTAGTCATTTCTGTTCTCGAGGCACCTTGTCATCGGGATAATAAACACGTGTAAGATGAATTGTCGCCCTGAGTAGCATGATGAGAGGGGGTAGACGGGCCCGTGTCTTTCCAGGTTACAGACTGCAGTCTAGTGCTGCTGTGTTGGGCTGAGGTACGCTGCGTGGTTGGAAAGCGCTCAGATGCCCGCCGTTCAGAGAGCGGCTGCGCTGCCCCGTGAGCAGTCTGCTTTAGGATCCCATCATGCAAAAGGCCAGATTTTTCTATAAGCCTAGGTAGCCCCAAATTAGAAGCATTTACATTTGAATGTACATTACCTAAAGTCTCAATGGACCAAATCACATTTGAGCAGCTCGGTAGCTACAGTTAAGTAGCATTTAGTGTAATATTCTGGAAAGAATGGACGGCTTAAAAAAAAAAAAAGTAAAACATGGACATAATGAAGTAATTCAGTCAATAAATCCCCTTTTAGTTGTTTTGCTATATGACGCCCCATATTATTATTTTTTATCTCAAGCAAGAACAGAATACATTTTTAAAAACCATTCTACATTTGGGATGAAAATAAAATGTGTGGGAATGGAAAGACGCCAATGGATCGGTGTGTCTCTGATGATCAGATAGTCAAAAGTGTCACCGGTGAACCTGTGGTGCTAAAGGCACGTAAGCCAGGGTTGTGCATTGGGATTATAAGCCTGTGCCTGGAAGCTGGCCATCAGCCATCCTTAATAGCCATACACCGTGAAGTCTCGGTGTTGAGCACTGAGACATATAGTTTCTATAATCTAACGAACACATAACAAGCAGGTTTTAACCCACTTGAAAGTTTAATCTTAAGAGAAGAAACAGTCTTCTTCCTTTCGCAGTTTTCGAAGAGACTTGTGGGTGAAAGCTAGGAATAGCCTTGCTTCATCTGGCGATCCATGGCTGCCGAGGGTGGCGCGGTGACCTTTGGCGCGGTACGTCTTCCAGCCGGCCCGAGATACTGACCATTTATAGCAGCTGCAAACGAAAGCACGCGGCAAAGGTGGGAGAGCTGAAATAGATGCCTTTTCACGCTCCGGCTTCTTTGCAAGGATGAAAGGTTTTTAGGCAGATGAAAACAGTTCTGAAGCAGAAAGCCAAGAAAGATGCATAGCAATTAATGTCACGAAGTTGGCAAGGGGAAGGACGCGAAGGAGCCTAGAGAAGAAGGGCAGTCTTGCCCCTTTGGATTTTGTGTGACATTTCAGATGGACTCAGGGGTCTCCTCTGTAGACACCAGGGAGAAGTTAGAAGCTTGAGCTAACAGAGAAAGGAACTTGTAACCACACTTCAGGCGAGGTGTGGGGGGGAGGACATTTTATGTGTGGATAACACCCAACCAAGAGTTCCGAAGGCCGTCTTGTTTACCTTTGGTGTCAATAACTGGGGTAGGAGCCTCTATTGAATATATTGTGGAAAGCTCCCCACACATCCCTTATCAAGCCTGTGAACCATCCTCCGCTGTTTATACTTCCTGCACAGTCAGAAGACATCAGGCTGGATTCCTAATGCCTCTGACAGACTGAAAGACTCCCAAGCACAGGTGGCATTTTCAGTCTCTCTTTCCACGTGATGTAGCGACTGACAAAGAAGGGAGGCTTTGGGAGACAAATGGCTGTCTGTGTGCATCGTGTTTTAGAAAGTTTTCTGGACTGTGTCTACAGAGTGAGCATGGTGCGCTCCTGGCAGGGAGCAGAGCGTGTCCTGTGAAGATTGGACAGGAAGAGAGCCCTGCGTGGAAGGATTCAAATGAGTTTGAAGGGGAAGGGGAAAATAATCCTAGTAAAGCCAATACCAAAAATGCCTCAGACTCCACACAGGTAGTATAGAGAGAAGCATTATGAAGGAAATACCCTGAGATTGTCTTACGTTAAAAGTGAAAGAAAGCCCCAACAAACTAAACTTCAGACTATATTTTTATTATTTTTCTAAAATCGAACATACTGCATATGCAACAAGTATTGGTTTAAAATATTTTGTTCTAATAGTAGGAGTGAGGCGATACCAGGGAGTT